ATAAAGCTTTTTGCAGAATGGAGGCAGCTATCAAAGAGCTCCCAAAGCTGAAGAGCAGATAGATGTGGGATTAAATTTAGCTCATTAATCAGAAAGCAAAAGTAGCACTGATAATGTTTGGTGCTGTGCAAGATGTGGTCTGAGTTGTTCCAGTTGAATTGGTATTGAAATACCCACCGATTCCTATACAATCCGCTACAATTTGCCTGTACCCCACTCTGATGCCCCCCTCTCTACCACTCCTCTTGTGAGGGCACCCCAGCTATCTTTCCGCTTACTACTTCACTTAGAATTTCCTTTGGTTCCCTCTGAAGGAACCCAGCTCCTGCTTCAGCCTCATCTGGAAGCACATCCTCTTGCTTCCTGTGGGCTGGAGAGTATGGAAAGGATACTATATGCCTGAACATGGCTCCTCTCCGTCACTTGCCTGTTGCTTTGGAGAAGACAGACCTCTGCACATGTGCTTTTATTAATGTCTGTATTCTTGCTGGAAAACAGCAGGACAGTGCTCATGAGCACGAGTACACGTGCAGAGCCAACTGCGTTTGTACGTGTTGGCAGACACTCTGGGTAAATGGTGATAGCCCACACCACTTACAGTTCTCAGCAAAATTTCAGGAAGAAGGAAGAGCAAAACTGTGTAAGTGAGGACTGACACTAACTGTGCTACAAGCACAGAGCTCTGTAAAGGGAAACCAACAAAGATCGCACTGTCAGTGTCAACATGAGTTTATTCTGTTACAAAAGTTCACTTTTCTTTCCTTAAACCACTCACTCCCAGAGAAATTTGACTCAATGAGAATGGGTGTCTTGGTCATTTTGATTAAGATGTAGATCTGGTCATAGAACAAATCCTGAGGATGGGAATATGAATGTCTTAAAAGACAAAAAAAAAAAGAAGTCAGCATTTATTTGGTTTTGAATGTTGGGGAGCAGCACTGTTTTAGTCCTAATCATAGGTCAGAGAAAACAAAAAAAAGATGCAACTCTGTGCCATCAAGACACTTCATCTGTTGAATCTCATGATTTGATCTTTACCCCTATGAAGCAGTAACCGACTTGAGAGAGCCACAGCACTGTACACTATGGCTGCTTATGTGTATCTTAATCCAATCTCACTGGATATATAGTACCAGCATTCAAAATACTGTCTGAGCATTGTAATTTTTCACTTAATTGAAAAAGCATTGCTCTGCTTGATTCGTTTTCTTACACAACTGCATCTCTTTTGTCTTCCTCCAGTTGTGGAGGCTGTGGCCAAGATTATACTCTGTCCTGCAGTGATTTCAGCCTATTTCTGGAAGGATGCAAGCAGTACAACAGCTCAGTATAGGAAATGTGTTTTTATCTTTGGATAGAGGGAGGCAGACATCCTGCATTACAGCAGGTTCTGTTTGTGTCCCCGTCAGTAGGTATTCTCTAAATTAACTGAGAGACAAAAATGAAAGTTGGCATTTCTGTGAAGCTCTGCAGAGTGATGTGTATGGACCAAGAGAGGATTCAAAGAGGTGTCAGTGCTGGGATGGGGATGGGAGCAGCTCTTCACAGATGCGGGGTCTTATTTTTATGTTCAGAAGTAGGGTAAAGGAAATGGCCAAGCCTTTTCAGACAGTGAGTTTTTTCTGCCAGACAGAGGAGGATCATAATGGAAATTGAGGGCATGGAAGGAGTTAAAAATATTTAGTTCCGTTTGGACTGTGAGTGATCTGAGCTTTGGTAGAAGGGGAGGGGAGTGGTGAGACAACTAAGGAAAGTGGCCAGTTATAGAAGGAAAAATACTCAGCTAAATGGTTTCCTTTTGATATAGTAATGCCTCCTTCAAGGGCTTATTTGAGGAAAAACAGACTTAAGAAAATGAGTCAGGATTTAAATGGACGCGATTGTCTTCAGAGAGATTTCAGTAATTCCTAAATGAGTCTTTTTAGTTGAACTCAGAGAGGCCACTAATCTCTACGCGTTCCTCTGAGCACGGGTCAGGCTGAGGACGTGGAGACAAGTGGGAAGACTGAACAGGCAAGTACAAGGGAGAAAGGAGGCGAGAAGGAGCTGCCCGGTTAGACCTGGCCACATGTGAAAGGCACTCACAGTGGTGCCAGCTCCAGGGGGCGTGAACTGGCTTTCGAGAGTGACACATCTGCATGGTACGGGGGCCCCAGTTAAAAAAGGAAGAGCTACCAATTCAGGATTATCAGGGAAAGTCTTTAATCCCTGTGCACTCTGCTGTTGATGTTCACCACGTGATTACACTTACCCCTTTGCTTTGTCCCGTCACTGAGAGTTGCTGGTGACCTCAGGAATAATCTTCCTTAAAGCTCAGAAGTGACACGTACATCCCACCATGGTTTGAAAGGCCCTCCCTCATGCAGTGTTTTACTGGCCTTTTGGTTAGTCGCTATTGATGCCTGACACTGCGGCCTGGCTGAGCAGCTTCAAGGAAGGGGGAAAACTCCCCCATAAGTCCAAGTTACCAGCTGTAAAGAGAAGGGGGCTGATGCGTTCTTTTCTGAGCACATCTGCAGACTCCGCCTCTGCACAAGGGAGAGTTATGAGCCCACAAAACTCTCCAGCTGGCGTGGATGAGACCACTAGCAAAGACAGGAGAGCCAAGATGTGTACCTCTTGTTAATTATAACAGAGAAATATGGTTTCTTATTTTGCAGTTTTCTTTTATAACCATGTTTCTAATTTCTAATCACAAGTAGCACCTTTTCTTCTGGTGAAGTAAATTTTTACTCTGAGCCTTATCTAGGGACAGTGACTGTAGGAGAATCTGACAAGACTTTGCAGAGCAGCAATTTCTTGCTCTTTGTTACAAAGCAATAAATCCTTGTGCAGCAGTGAATAAGCAAAGAGTCTGAGTCGCCTCATCCAACCTGCGCTTGTGAAACCAAGAAGCACAGGTCAGTTGAAGATTGATAGCGAGTACTTATGGCGCAGAGAAGAGAGGTAGTGGGCGAGTAGCTGGCAGCAGGTGATGAGAGGCATCTTGTGATGCTGGTCAATGGTCCAATTCAAGGCATTGGGCTAAAGCTGAGAGTATAAGGTGGTATTTTTGGCAAATAATTGAATCAACAAAAATGCAGCATTAAACCAAGCAGAACTGTTTGTGGATTTAGGATAAATTTAATAAAGCTGAGCCAGCAAAAGCTAGTGCCTAATGATTTCCCTTTTCATAATGAGTGTCCTGCATATCCTGTGTCCAATTTGCCAGGTCCCATGGGTGTCTCAAATGCTGCAATGCATCTCCAGTGGCAGCAGACACCTATGTTTAAGCATCTGACCCAAACCCTTAAACTTTCTGCATTTAAGAGCACAACCTGCAAAATTCTTGACAGATTCAGCCTCGTGAGTTGTCCAGATGCAAGACGTTGCTTTCTGCTCCCTTTCTCTCCCTCGTTCATGGGCTGCAGACTGTCCGGCACCCAGTGTTAATGCCGCCTGACACAGCATCCTGCCAGTCTCTACAGAATTTCAGCAATTCAAATAATAAAGTGCAGCATTCATTGCCAATTCTCTGCCTGGCTCCCTCTGGGGAGGTGGTGACTCGCTTGACTTTGATCATGCTGTAGTGATCATGAATATTTACAGCCAGCTCCTCTGCTGCTAGCCACAGACAAAAAGCTCTGGAAATGCCAGGAAACCCCGAGTGTCCCCTTGGCCACCTTGGCTTCTTTGAGTAATTCCTTCTCCTCTCTGGTGCAGATCAAGTTGTTAGCATGCGAGGCAGTGCCAGCACAGACTGTGCTGAGAGCAGAGTGACACTGATGTGTTCAGGGAGGGTCTGTAATGAGCAGAAGTTTGGTGATTAGGCTCTTCAGCACAAGCTGCAGTAAAGGGACATTCAGGGACAGATTTATCAGGCAGAAGAGGGGAAAGAGGGCCAGTGAAGAGGGAGCTTGGACTTTTTGTCAGCATTATTTCGCATCGTGCACGATCAGGATCACAGTTCTGTGCTGCATACCAGTGGGAGGGGGCATGGCCATTGCAATGAACACGCCTTGTCCCTGCAGCACCTTCAAGGCAAGTGAAGCCATTTACAGTCCTGTGCCCTTGAGGAAGTGTCATTTGTTCATAGAAAGCACCGTTTGTACCTGAATACTGCTCTGGCATCAGTCAGTGCGTGCCCTTGTATTCCCCTCTAAGTGACATGATGGAAATGCAAATCATTAAGTAGAAATATGGACAGGTTAGAGGGCACAAGTGCATGGGGCAGTAGAGGCCCAGCAAAAAGTGAAGAAAATTGGCACCTGTGCAGCCCTTACTGGGAAGGCAAAGATGCCATCATAGCAGGGCAGACAAAAACACAGAGGGGAGGAAGAATAGGCCACAGGTACTGCAGCTTCAGCTGAATAATTCAGATTTCTTTCTGTGGGTGTCCTTCAGTTTGTTGGTGACGACGAACAGCAAAGGCAGAACTGTGTTCTGCTGTTGTGTACGGCACTGGGCACAGTGGGTTCCTGTACTTGGCTAAAGCCTCGAGGTGCTGCACATCACTAACTGGTCTGGAGCCAAGCTTCCAGGTCATACACCCTGAGCACCATCCTGCTGCGTGCCATGGCAAAACCTTCTGCTGTGGGCACGTTGTGCTTCCCTTGTCCTCACTGTGCGCGGATTTTGGACAGTGTTCGCTCTGCAGTATTTGCTGAGAGGAGATTCCCAGCGGAGCGCTTCTTTACTCCTCTCTGCTCCCAGCTTTTGTGGTGTGTGTAGGGGAAAACAGGAACTTGGACTGCTCCGCACCTGGGGAATGAGGCATTGTCTCCACAGTGCAACTGGCTGAGGATAAGTTTAAAGGTTAAAATGCGGAGCAGCTGTTTGAGGAATATAACGAAGATGTCTGTGAACTCCTCGTGTGTTCAGACAGTTGCTCTTTCCTGCACCAGATTTGTCTGCCTGAGGCTGGCTTGGCATTAAGGAAGCAGGTCTGGGTTTGGTCTAGCATGAGCAGGCATCATTTGTTGCATGTCCTGGTAACTCCTCTTCTTCTCTCCCCCACGCAGTACAAACAAGTGGAACAGTATATGTCCTTCCATAAGCTCCCCGCAGACATGCGGCAGCGCATCCATGATTACTATGAGCACCGCTACCAGGGGAAGATGTTTGATGAGGAGAGCATCCTGGGGGAGCTGAGTGAGCCCCTTCGAGAGGTAAGGAGGAGTCAGTGCATGTTCCTGTCATCTTTGATAGCTGTGGAGTTCCTGGTGTACAGTGTCCTGTCCCAGTGCTTTGCAGAGGACACTATCAGGTGATGGGACACCCTATTAATGTTAGTTGGTTGTTATGTCTGACATAAAGGCGGACAGGGGGGCTACATTATGTCCCAATAATGTACCTTCATAGGAGAGAGAAGAGCTGAGGATCTTCTAGCCATATTTTAAAACTAATTCTCCCAAAGTCTCAGAGGGCAACCCTGGAAAGAACCTTGGTGAGGAGGAGACAGATGCTTCCCCAGCCCTCTTTCTTCCTGCTCCAGGTGCTCCTTCACTGCTTGGCTGGGGAGCGTTGTGCTGAGGTGATTTACTCACTATCACTTTCAGCCACTTTCTGAGTCTGAGCTGACATGGCACAGAACAGCTCTTGTGCAGTGGGAAGTGCTGTCATACCCTCCGAGTGACACCAAGCCACAGGGGCAGGCACAGTCCCTGCCTGCTCTGTGACAGCTGAACAGCTGAGTTGGATTTTCTTCATCTGAAGCTGACGACCCAGCCTGTGACCCAGTGACTGGTGGGCGCCTCTCCCTCCCCTCTCTTGACACTGTCCCCATCTGCCCAGGATAATTCTTTCTCTGAGCTCCTTGGCACATTTGTGCTGTTTAATACCTCATGGACAAGCAAGGGCAACAGAGAGTGTAAGGCTGCCAAGGTGAGTTACAACATTTTCCCAGAGAGGAACCCTGGGCGTTTTCATACAGCATTTAACCAGTGCTATTCACCTCTCTCACAGTATAAGATTTCCTGCAGAAAGTGGGGTATCATGTGTATTTTGGAGGTCAGGAGGGCGTTGTCCTTCCTCAGAGAGAGAGCGTATGAGTGAAAACAGTGAAGCATGGTGCCAAGCTGTCAGCTGCAGCTCGCGCTGCTACGTGCTCTGAGCATCCAGAGCCTGTTCCAGCCTGCACTGGGGAAGCCAGACTAAGGGAACAGCTTTTTTTTTCCCCCCACTTTGTAATGTACAGGTCAAGTGGGGGATGAATCTTCGTAGGTTATTAGATGCTGACTAAAGATATGTCTGTGTCTTTTCTGCTCCTTGTCCCATGTTTTCTCGCCCCCTCCCTCCCTTTTGCATCTTATTGTGGTCAGGAAATCATAAACTTCAACTGCCGGAAGCTGGTTGCCTCCATGCCCCTCTTTGCCAACGCAGATCCCAACTTTGTGACATCCATGTTGACCAAGTTGCGGTTCGAGGTGTTTCAGCCAGGGGATTACATCATCCGGGAAGGCACCATTGGCAAGAAGATGTACTTCATCCAGCATGGGGTGGTGAGCGTCCTCACCAAAGGCAACAAGGAGACCAAGCTGGCAGATGGCTCCTACTTTGGAGGTGCGTGTTAGCCAGTCACACGTACGCAGCAGTACCCACTGCTGTTGCTCATACAGTCCTTGACTTGTCCTGGATGCACAGGGATGGCAGCGTGTGGAGCTGATGCCCCAGGCACCTCCTTCTCCACCCTCCGTCGCTGTTCATCTCACCTGTCTTGCAGCTTCCCATATGGTAAATTGTGCAGTGAGAGGTAACTAGGACTCATGGGCAGTGCAGGAGTCTAGATAATAAATAATAACAAAGTGGAAAAGGGAAACTTCATTCTTGCAGATTCATTTCTTTTTGCCTCAAGCAAAACTGACAGATCTGTGAAGCTGAGAACCTGAAGGCAAAAAATGGAGCATTCTCAATTCTCGAAGCGCATCTACAGTGTTGCCTAACCCTACTGTCTGGCATCTGTCATATGAGGTACTGTATAAAAAAGAAGGAAAAAAATTAGTCCATCATCCCTTCAGCCTGTGGCTCAGCAAAATGTCATAACGGTCAGCAGGTGGGCGTAATGTATCAGCAGCAGAGCTGCTGAAACTAGTGTGAGGACAGGGAAGGCTATAAGAGGAGATTTAGGATATTGCTTTTGGGAGTAACACCGAGACTCCCCTCCTGTCAGAGCCCTGTAGAGTCCTCACTGACAGTCCAAGGTAGACAGTTCTCTGGTAGGTGAAGGCTTCAGTGCAGGCACTGAATGCACCGCAATTAATCGTCTACTCAGAGGGGACAGAATGAAACCTGCCTTTCTTTCCCTTCTAGAAGGCCTTTTCTCTATTAAAAAATCCCTGTCATTCATTTTCTACACTCTTCTTAGACTTTTAGTTCCTCTGAAACAGCCTGTCTGCACCTCTGTGGAGTACAAGGATTTCACATGCCTCTAGCAAGTTGGTACAGTTCAATGAAATTTGGAGTTACAGGGTTGGAGTCAGGATCCCCTCACTCCTGACAGATTTGATGAACAAAAAATGCCCATGACATTCAACGTGGTTTAAATAGCAGGCCCACATCTCCTCACACACATGGCAAGGCCTCGTAAGCATCATTTCCTTAGGAAAGCAGCCTAATAACGCACTTATAACCTTGTAGTGCTGCTATACCATGCTTTGGGGGAGACCCAGAATGGATCCCGAGAGCGCTGCTGGTGGGCTGACACCCAGCGTGCAGCGCGGAGGAGAGTGCTGTCAGTCTTTAGGTCACTCATCTGTCTTCAAGTGTCTGTCCTGGCTGCCCATACTCTGTGTGTAATCAGTGGAGAAGCGGGACTCAGCTCTCCGCGGAGTGCTCAAGGAGCATTGGTGCCCAAGTCAGGCATTTATTATAGAATCAAGGGCTTTCTATTCTGTAACCAGCTGAGCATCCTCCTAAGAGTAAATGACTGCAGTGTAAATACACCAAGGTGTTAGTAGGTGGCACCAACTTGGCTCTCCCTGACTATCTTGAAGATTTTGAAAAGACAAATGTTCCATGTATGGGGATCAAAATTAGTGCCAGGCATCAAAGCCACAGGACAGCACAGAGCCTTTACTACAAATCTAGAGAGAGAATTAGCTTTAATGAGAGCACGGCTTGACCTTCTGCTCCCAGTGCCCACAAGGAGCTGGAGAATGACAGCTTCTCCAGTCTGAATGCACAAATGGTATCTTTGATAATCCACCATAACGAAACTTGTCTGACTAATTAGATCAGCAGAATCCCTGAAGTGCGATTGTGTGGAGCAGCTGCCACAACTGAGCCCCCTGGTATTTTAAAATGTTACTGTGTATGCACAATATTACCATTGTTCATGTTTTCAGTGGGAGAGCAGGTAGAGTCTGGCTAGAGAGGCGACTGGATGGCAGGCAGGACGGCCTATGAGTGGCAGTATCAGGTCTTGTATTGCAGTGGCAATGGTGTCTGTCCCCATGTTCTCAAGCTGAGTCTTTCATTCCAGAAATTTGTCTGCTGACCCGTGGCCGACGCACAGCCAGCGTGCGAGCTGATACCTACTGCCGGCTCTACTCCCTCTCAGTGGACAACTTCAACGAGGTGCTGGAAGAGTATCCCATGATGCGGCGAGCTTTTGAAACCGTGGCTCTTGACAGGCTGGACAGAATTGGTAAGTAGAAGGCACGAAGGTCTCCTTCCTGTAACCTGCTGCATCTCCAGGCTTGGTCTTGAATTCCTTTGCTGGAATGGTGAACTGAACGGGACCATAGGCTGTCTATCCTTGCTAGAAGGAGTGCCATTCATAAGCAGTTAAATTCACATCCTGCTCTCTCTTTCTGTCTCACACCTCTACATTTCTGCCAGCTCCTGCCTCCATACCTTCCCAAGAAGTCTTTTTGAAGAATCGAGATCTGCAACCTAAGGCCATCAGGGCTGTGCTGGTGAACTCACTCGATTCTGAATTTTAGCTCCAAATGCATAAATACACCATTGATAAAAACCTAACCTCCCAAAGTAAACACAATTAACCAAAGAGTATTGGTGGTTTTTGTATACCTCGTAGTGACCCATCCCAGTATGCTCTCCTCTCCTGTGGGAGACATAACCTGTGCTGCAAACATCCTTACCTAACTAGAGAAGACCAGGATGAGATTTCTTGGTGGCAACCAGAGATGTTTAGCACAGAGAGATTAAGCAGCTTACGCAAGGTCATGCAAGAAGTCTTTGTAGAGCTGAGGACCAAGCATTTCAGAGTCCCAGCCTAACTTCTTTAGCGTCTTATTATACATCTCTTAAAACTGCATGCATTTTCATTGCTTTTCAGAACGAAAAAGGTCAGTGCGGGTCTGAGTACAATGCAGAAGGCGAGGCAGATAATGGGGTGAGGGGGGGTAGGGAATAAGCTGGCATCTCAGCAAGGGGTGAAGTGTCTCTGGGGCTTTTCATGCCAGGAACATTTTATTCTGTGCATCTCATTACCTGCTGCAAATCAGAAAGTGTGACCCCCTGAAGAAAAGGTTATGAGCTAAATATGTAGAGTTTGGTAAAGCGCACGCTAATGAGGCCCTAGTGTAAGTGGCGACAGTCCCATCACTTGGGTTATTTAAATTAGACTGTACAAACTGCTAAGAAAATGTAATGTCAGGCACAACCAAAGATGGGCCAGCTTGGCTTTATCTCCAGTTCTTCAGCTTTCGGTAGTCAGCGCTGCTCAGCTTCCAAGCCTGATGTTCTCTGTGACTGTCTATACAGGTGGGCAGGGGGTTCTGTGCTTATGTTTTGCTCTGTGTGCTGTATACATGGCTAAAATTCATGGAAAATTCTCAACTGGCATAAAAGAACCTCACATGCTTCTTACCCCAGGAGAAACTCCCTTTCAGAGACAGCTGCAAAATGTCAACATAAGGTCAGAAGGTGACGCAGAGCAACTGGAATAACAGACCCTTTGGTGCAGAGCTCTGGTATTGTCCTCCCCTCCTTTTGCTATTCTGCTGACCTGAGACAACACCAGTCCCTGTGCTGTATTAAAAGGCAGAAACCTTCTGAGTTGTATGTTGAAAATCGTAGAGCTCCCCTTGTTTCCCTGGCAATCAAACTTGAGAGCTGCCTGTTCTCTCCACTTCACATCCTCCACTATTGCAAAATAGCGTCTTCATAGCACTTTCCAACTCCGTTGTGCCCAACACTCTCTGGCTGGAATTTCTCAAGAGAGCCTAAGGGAGTTATCCAAAATTGGTAGATACCATGGAAATCCTTGTATTTTTAAATAAGGCATTTCTTCATTTTCCCATGAAACATGGACCATCCAGAAAGAGCAGTGCAGTAGCTGTGTAACAGCATGTGGCTTTTTAGGGCAGTAAAGATTACTGCATTCTACTGAGTCTGTCTCTGGAAATAGAGGGATTCTCCTGGAGGACTGAATTTAAGGAACAGCAACAGTTCATAAAAGCCAGGTATGAACAGAAGCAGGACCCTGTTATTGGATCCTGTTACATTCAGCTCAGGATGTGTACACCAAGTGGAAGTGAATGGGACCTCTTTCAAAATCAGTGGTGTATTTGCTGCGTTCTACCCAGGTGACAACATGCCCTTGAGAAGCCCATGTCTCATTGAGTACGTTAAATGATTCAGAGCACTCTGTCACTGTTCTGGTACCAGGATAAAACCCATCCAGACGCACCCTGTGCAGTGAGAAATCAAGAGAGCAGGCAGAAAAATCTCAGTCCATCCAGTCATGGCAGAGAGATGTTTAGAGAAATAACTGCTAATTGGGGGGTTTGGAAAGCATGGTCCAAGCTTGTCTAGGTAGCAGGGAGACAGGCTGAGAACATAAGACCTCCTCTCTTGAAGCAACAGGACCAGTCGTGGTTGACTGGAGGTGCGATGAGGCATATACCCTCTGGAGAGCAAATGCAGTTCGAAAGCCTGTGGCTAGGCAGGGCGCAGAGAGGGGGACAGATGTACCCTGATCCATGTGCCCCCATCACTTCCTGCTGCTCGATGGGTAGGGCAGCAGCATGAAGGGCGCAGCCCAGGAGGGAGCTGTCAGCTGCATTGGTCGATTGGCAAAGAGCGTGTTGCTGTATCTTTCTAACCTCTGTTGTTAATGGTGGTTGATAGTGGCATCCTGCCTGCGCCACGCCTGGCTGGGGAGGAAATTTCCCAGGTGTTTCGCACTAGTGAAGCTCTTTAAAGACTGAAAGGGATTAGTTTCCAGGAATCAGCTAAGTCTGGCATTCTACAAAGGTTTGTGTCCCAGCTTAACTCTGCTCTCTGAGTAAGCTGATGCCCTAAAGAACTCCTCATCCTGCAGAATATTACAGGCCTAACTCTCCACAGGCTCAGGGCTTGAAGATTGAGACTCAAGGAAATGAGTTAACAATCATTTTATCACTGATTAAATCTTCCTCTTTTTCTTGACCAAGCTGTAAAATTCTTTGTAGTGTATGTGTGTTGAAATGATTTCTTCATTTCTCCAGTGAGTAACTCTTTGTCTGACAAGCATTTATGAATCGTCCCAGTTTGTGATGCATCAGTTACGTAAGTCGCATCATCATGTTCCTGACTGGCTTTGAAACTGGCTTTTGGTGACCGTTGAAGCTTAAAATTAGATTTTCACAAGTGTTTGCACTTGTAAAACACAACCGCTCAAATGTTCATTGAAAGTAAACACAATACAGGTTGTGAATATTGTCGAATCAAAATCCACTGATGCATTCAAAAAATGTTGGGGGACAATTGTTCTCCATTGTTCGTTGTGCTGTAATAAACACCATGAGAGTCTGTCATAAGGTTGCTTACCATCTCTATCAAGGTCACTGGTGAGAGCTAAAAAAGCATACTTAAAGCCTGAGGAAGTAATTTTTTCATTTTTATCAGCAGTTTTTCACCACATAGAGTGAAATGCATACATTTTGAATGCCAGTTGCCTACGTTTTGATACAAGGATCTCAGTTAACACAGGATGAAAAGTGCCTTGCATTCGTCCAGGGATCACAGATGCTAAAAAAAAAAAGAAAAGCTAAGACAACACAGTATTAGCCTCTAAATATAATTATATAATATTATTGCAGCACGAGAGTGTTCAAGATATTATAGCAGCAGAAGTTTTAAAAGCTTTGTCCTATAAAAATGCCACAAAAATAGCTGTTCCCAAACTTTTTGACTGGGCACCCTATTTGTCAGCTCCTGATCACGCTTTGGCAATTGAAATCCTGTTGGGTTTTCAACCCTGCTTGTCTAGGTCATGACTAATACTCTGGGATCTGCTGCCTCAGAGGAAGGGCTGGCCTGTGAATGAGAACCTCCGGGATCTGTGCCAAGCTCTGCCACAGATTCCCTGTTTGTCCTTGTCTTGCCTTAGCTCTCTGCCTCAGTTCCTCATCTCTTCTACAGGGAAAATAATGCTGCCAAAGGTAGAGCTTGATCTTTGAATCTTTCATAGCTGCCTACCCCTTGTGGCAGGTGCCATGCAAGATCACAGGAATAAATGAAGCAGACTGAAACGTGTATAAATAAAATATACAGAGTAAACAAATTTTGCTCTAGACCCCTTATTGTAGTTCCAGATTTGTTCACTGTACGCAGGTGTGTAACTCCCAAAGAACTGCACATGTGAGATGAGCAAGCAGATTCGACCTTAAGACTGTGTGTGTATATATATACACATATATGCTCCTTATTTGAGACTGCTGATACTGGCACAGGTGATATAAAAAGAAAAGTTCCTGTGGCCAAAGCATAAAGTGCTAGAGTGTGTGTGCTCTGGGAGGAAGATTTGTTTCAAAATCACATTGAACTCTGCTCAGCCCTTTAAGGAGGTGGATTCTTGCTATCCAAGTACTGAGCACGGGAGGGTATCAGTGGCTGACAAGAGGTAACACAGGTCCCCCTGTGTCGTGTCCTCTTTTGTCATTTGAATAACCCACAAACAAAACTGTTCGTGAGGATTCAAAGTTCAAATACCACTAGGTTTATTCCTCTGACTTGAAATCCTCTCCTGTTATTTCAAACACTACAACGTGGAGATCTGAATCTGACTTTTGCAGTCGGCAGAGAGAAAGAGGCATTTAGAGTATGATTTGTCTTCTCCTAAGGTGTCTGTCTAAAATGGTGAAACCCACACTGGAAATGCTATCTAGCACAGATTTGTAGGGTAGGAGTTTGGACTTAAGCAGGAATTGAATATATGAATTTATTTTTATGTGGAAGTGAAGGCCCAGTCTCAGGGTATTTTCTGTTGAGCCTAACAACAGATATCTTCACCTTGCCAGGCGTGAGTGAATGCAAATTGACTTCAGTTTAATTAAGGTGAATTGGCAACCCTGTTCACCTGAATATGAAGTGCCATTTCTCATGCAACCCTAGAAGGAAAATAAAACCTAAGACACCCCAACAGAAGGGAATGAAACGCCTGTTCAAGTAACTTTTTACTATTCCAACACCTTTAAAAATAATTTTCAACGCCCCTACATGGAGTAGGACTTGCTTACCAACCACACCTCTAGACTCAGGGGACTTTTCCTGCCTTGAAGGCAGTCCAGTAGCTCTCTGGAACCAGACCACACTGCCAAGCATACAACTGACAGAAAAATGGTGCCAGAATGTCCAGAGTCTTCCAGAATCTGTCCGTGTCACAGCTGTCAGCTCCAGCAGGGCACTGAGAATTAA